CCGCGTGTGGCGGGACGCACACACATATACACAGGGCTGGAGGAGGACACCGAGCCCATCCCGGCGCGGCAGGAGCGCGGCACCGGGCTCTTTCGCCAAGGGTGGCATCACCCCACCTTGGCACAGTGGCAGCAGGAGGACGGGCAGCTCAATCCCACCATCATCCCTCCAACAACACGCATATCCTGTGTTGGCCGCCCCCGGTACCAAAACCAGCACACTGGTTCTTCGTACAAATCAAGTTAAAAATCTCCATTTTACAAAATATGCCTTAAAAAAACCAAACAAATAAACAAAAAAACCCACAAAAAAAAAAACCCCAACAGAACAAAAATCCAGAACTCGCAGACATGGCTCCTTCTATACAGTCAACACAGCATCCTCCTGCCAGGCCCTCTGACAGGGGCCCCAGAAGGACAGGGAAGGTGACGGAGCGAGGGGGAGCCGTACACAGGGCCAAGAGCCGAGGGCTGCTCCTCGCCCCAGCCCCTCTCCCCGCCATCAGGCCCCATGTGCTTTCACCCCCCAAAACCTTTGGGAGCTCAGTTGGGGCCACCAGTGAGAGGGGACAAGGGTGACCCACCCCAGCCCTCAGCCGCTGCAGGACAGATTTGTGCTTTCCAACCCTCCCCGAGATGCTCAGACCAACGTGCTGGATGGGGACAGCACTGAACCTCAACTGACACCACAGCACAGGCGAGGGACCTGCTCCCCACCCGCGTCAGGCTGCCCCCGAGCCGGGGGACAAGAAGCGAGCGGAGCGGGGGGACAGCAGACCCCACAGCTGCTGCTTCACCCCATGGGGAAACCGAGCCCCAAAACCCCACAGCCACGTCCTGCCCCAGCCCGGGGAGCAGAACAGCCAGATCCTGGGGAGCCAGGAGGAGCAGCCCAGGAAAATAAAGCACAAGAAGCCGCCGCAGCCAGCGGGGCCGCGCGCACGGGGATGTTTCACCCCTTGGCTATTGTTTAACTAGCATTTAAAAAAAAAAAAAAAAAAAGGAAAAATTTAAAAAAAAAAAAAAAAAAAAAAAGGAAATATTTCTTGTCTCTGAATGCATAAAGGTGGCTCTGGGATTTGCCAGAGATGTGGATATTACAAGACACTTTATCTGGAGTCTTCCAACAGTCTGAAGTCAACTGTGTTTGGGAAAGAAGAAGAAGAAAAAAAATCCACTTTCTATAGCAATATAAAGCATCTAAATATGGGCAGCACCATGCTCCCCTCCCAAACCTCTCCGGCATTCCAGGAATGTAAACAGAGGGGGTTTGTTGGGGGGGGTTGGTTTTGTTTTTTTTTTTTTTTCTTTTTTTTCCTCTTTTTAAGTGGGTGGGGGGAACAGAATCAAACAACCAGACAAAATGAAAACAGCTTCTCAGCTCAGTCCCATCTCCCACAACTGCTACGACAACTCTATAAAGTGCATTTCAGTATCACCCCTCTCAGGATCCTTACACACACAAACCTCCCTCCGCAGGAAAAGGTAATTCAAGTTAATACTCCGCTAGAACAGTTTCAGCCTTTTTATGGATTTCTGCTTTTCCCCGACTTTGTAGCAACATTTTTTTTTGTTGTTAGACAGGAAACGCCCCCTCCCCAACAATACTGTAAATTCAAGTGCTCACTTCAGCTGCCAAGGGCACCAGTTCTGGACACAGCACACTTGATTGTACAAGCAACACCTTATATCACAATCAAGAAATCAGGGCACTTTGCCCTCCGAGGGAGTAACGCTTCCCCCTCCACCATCCATAGCATCATATGAAAAAATAATAGTAAAAAAAAGAAACAACAAACCCAAACCATAATTAGCTATGAACATCGCTCGTTATGTACACCGGCTCCTGCAACAGATGCGTGAACTCTGTTAGTTCTCAGTTTTATTGTCCTTTCTAAGAGCAACTGAGCAGTCACTGTTGTCTCCATTTAAATAAAACAACTCAGAGTTGAAATATATATATATAGATATATATATAAGCATTTTTTCTTAAATAACATATTTACATCTAATAGAAAATATAACTCTAGAGATAATCTTTCCAACGAAATGTAAGACGTGGGGGTGGGGGGGGAAAAATAAAGAATGAGTTAATGAATTTAGGACAGTTTCTAAATCCTCTCCAGGACCAAAAAAAAAAAAAAAAAAAAAAAAAAAAAAAAAAAAAAAAAAAA